CCCACTGCTATTATGATGTGTTGGTGTAACTTGCTATGCAACATATTCCAGTGTCTACTAATTGTTGTTTACTAATAGGGCTAAGAGTCATCATAGTCTACCCACATGGAATTTTCTTTTATCTTTTATGATGCCCAAACAATTTTGAAAAGCACCAACACACTCTTACCATTCATTATTAATATTAAAATCTTAGGCTTAGAGAAGGGGAGGAATATTTGTTTTATAGTTTTACTGCATCTGCCCTAAAAGTTATTAATTCATTTTCTGTTGTTGTCTTTTTGCATTCCAGCCATTACAATCGTTAGACCTGCACGTGGTGAGTAAAATTCCAGTCCTGACACACACCTAGTATTCAGTTCACCTAGAACTCTTACACATGAGAAGGGGGATATAGAAAAATAGAAATTGTAACAGTAGATTTTTTTTCTTATAAAATGATAGCAATAAATCAGGTGAAAATAAACGCTCTTCCATGTTCCCTGAACACAGGGTAAGAAATAATTGTCCTGAACTGCAGGAAAGGGGAGTTAGAAGAATGTTCATAGAAACTCCTGTTGGGTGGGAGACAAAGTCCTCTCCCTATCATGTCAAAGAAGCTTGTGCGAAGAAGCGTGTCTTGAGGAGAGGAAAGGCAAGACATATAGCTCCAGGAATAAGCCTGTGCCTGCTCAGCTGTGGACAGAAAATGGTGACCAGTGGGACTCATGAGCCCACAGGCCCCTTTACTGACTCCAGTTTGTGTTGAGCTATGGGTCGTTATTTTAGTGGGTATATGAATCAAGCCAAGTACAGGCTCCTTGGCCTATAAAGTAAGTCACTCTTCCTGTCTAAACTATTGCCCTGTCTCTGTCCTACCAAACAGTGGGTGTGATACCAGCTCCTGATCCTTCCACTACCTCAGGCAGGGAGGTGTATACAGTACAGATATTTTAAAAACCTATGATAATAACTTGTTTGATTTAGAATACTATGTACAAGATTTTTCCCATCTGGTACTTCAAAGTATACTCTGAGAGTCCGGCAATAGCAGTTCCTCCCTGAAAATCCTGGAATGTAGCAGAGCTGTTTTGAATGATCTCTAGTATGTTCTTGTCTATGAAAGGCAGTACACAGTTTGGTATATAATCTGTGTGTCTCTGAGGTGATGTTGAACTATGAGAATGTCCCTTACAGATATTGCTATATCTTTAGTGAGTCTTGTTGGAGGGACAGCACTGCTACAGAAACCAGTGAGGGGATTTTGAAATTTCAGAGTGGGAAGTGAAATCAAGAACATTGAAGGAAGTCCCTGTAGTTACATCTCTTTATTGAAAAAAAGATAGAGAAGATAGAGACAAGTATAGAGCTGTGGACACAGACTCTATCCACTATGCATGATGTAACATACTTTTCATGTCTCATAGAGTGAATACACAAGTAGTATATTTACAGAATAGGGCGAGGAGGGGGGGAAGGATAAGAACCAAAATTTGTCATGGTTTTATGTGCTTAAATTTTACAAGTAAAATAATTTAAGAAACTGATTTCTCATTCAGGAGAAATTATGATTATAGATTGTGAAGAGCAAATAGCTGATAATGTTCTGCACATCAGTGTCATATTGTTTATCCCATCTCACTTACTATGAACTTCACTGGCTAGTCAGTGTAAAAATTAAATGGAGATACATTATTTTCAATCTCCTTCACCTGTAGTATATCACTATGAGCATGTTTATATGTAAACTTCTACAAAAGCTTTCAAGATTCCTGGTTTAATAAAGTGGTTTATTGACTGATATTCATGTGTCAAGCTGTAGTTTCAGGACCAATTTAATCTGATCTAAGTGTGGGCTGCCAGAGGGGTAGTTTGCCTTCTCCCTTGGTCCCAACAACAAAGTTATCTTCTGTCTTAAGTGGTGCTCTGTTCCAACCTGGCTGAAATCTGAAAACCCGTGGGGAAAAAAAAAAAAAAAAAAAAAAAAAAGTCCATGCAGAAATAACTAGTTTTCAGCCATATCACTTGCAGTTTCATCCTGCAGCCACAGGTACCCGAGTGCTCACAAAAGGGAGGGAGAAGGGAAGTAGAGCTGTAACAGTGGCTGGGGGACTGATGGGATCTCCTTTTTTCATGGTAACTGACTTTTAGTTCTGCTTAATCTGAACTGCAACCTCATGTTGCTTCTGCATTTAAAAATCCCATTTCCTGTGTTAGCAAAATGAAGAATTATGTATTTATTTCTGTTGCCATACCAATTTCATAGTTCCTTGTGGGGCAGAATTATACTGATGCTCAGATGTTCTCCCAACTGAATATACTTAGAGCAATGTAAAACACCTTTATTAAGAACCTCTGATTATTAAATTATTTCCCAATGTTTTAATTATTGCCATTCCTCCAAAAACAAGAGCAACAAAAGGATTAATTTTAAAATATGTTTAATTACTGCAGTTTATGTTGTGAGTTATCTGTAAAAGCAAACAAAACCCTCTATAAATCAGCAGCAATGTGGATAATATAACGTGTTCACTCTGCTTTTTTTTCTCATAAAGCTGCTTCTTTTCTTGCTGTCCTTTCTGTTCTACAAGTTTCCCTCCCTGTCTCTGATTTTGTGGTTATTTGGCAGTTTATGTTCAGAGGGGTGGATTATTGCTGCTGTGGTACAGAAGCATGAAAATCTCTTATTTTTAAGGCCTAAAACCTGATGGCAAATCCAAATAATCCAAGTCCAGACAAACTCTGAACTGCCAAAGGCCAGTTTTGCATGCCCTACTCCTTTGTAGTTGAACACAGGCTTAGAAACGTGGATTTAGCTAACCCATCTCTTGTCTCCTTGTGCAGTCTGACTTTGCTCCTCATATCTCACTAGGCTGAATCCAAATATTATCTTAAACTACACATCTATGAAAAGTGAAACATTATTCTTCAGACCTGAAGAAAATAAGCTGCTTTGAAAGGGTTTACTGGAGATTTTATCAGACAGAATGGTGGTTCCCTGTCCTCTTTTATGTGTTCCTGTCTTTCATATGTTACATCTCTTGTATTTGTCACTTATTTGATCCCTTTCAATGGAGCAGGGTATTCATTACTTTCCTCCTTATTCCCCCTAATTTCTTTCTCTCCTTTTCCTGTGCTGTCTCTGAGTCTGTTTTGTTTGGAGCAGAAGCTCCCCCTGCTGCTCTATTTTGTAGTGTGCAACATTGCACAGCCAAAAGAAATTGGATAGGTTTTCATTATCTAACAAAACAAATTCTAGGGAAATAAGGGCAATTATTATTGAAAATTATACAAAATATTTCATTTGAAATTTCAGCTATTCCTGAATTTAACAGCAGCTTCAAGTAATTCCTCCATAATAAAACTGAATACATTTCCCAGAAGCCTTTGTTAAAAATTTAATCTACCAGCAGTAGCAAACTCTGAAATTGGGTGGATCTGAAAGTTTAGTCAGCAAAACATAAAATCGGTCCTTTCCGATCTGTTTCTTCTCCAAAACTCCCACACACAACACTGTTCCTACAAGGCCACTGTCTTTGGAGAAGACTTGCTGCAAACCGACTTAACCAGCTTGGGGTTTTCCACTGACCTTATATCCACTAGTACAGACTTGTAGCTGCTTTCACATCCTTACAACCCAGTGTTACATTTATATAGGCCTAACTCTTCACCTGTGAGTTAGCCTAGTGATTTCAGTGAAATAAGGTCTGCCTAGAAGTGTTACCAGTTTCTGTGCGGTTTTGTGCGTTGCTGGGACTTGAATTCCTACGGGTTTTCTTGTACAAGTGGTCTGGGCATTTTTCCTTCTTCACGTTCCCACTGACATCAACTTAAGGCAGGGAAAGGTCACTGCTAATGCTAACACCTGTTCCATAAACTTCCTCCACACTCTGGTGAGCACTGAACTCTACTTCGGCAAAGCAGAAACGACTTGTTCACGGCAAACACTGTACGGGCAGCACGGGCTTCCGTAGTTAGTATTTCTCCTAACTTCCTCACTTTCATTTAACGTCAGAGAAGAAGCAGCGCCCGTCATAAGCCTTGAACTTCCTCCTCCGCCACCAGTTAGCCTGTTACGAATGAAAAAACAAAGCTGCAAAACAAGCAACATGCAAAAACAGCTTGAGCGTTCGTGCCTATCAAAGCTCGTAAACCGCCGGCGCCTCCCCCTGCCCCCGCCGACGGCCGGAGGGCACCGCAGAGCCCCGCGGG